CCTGTCTATTACGCGGATCTAGTAGCAACCAGAGCTCGATGTCATATCAAAAGGAAACTGTTAGTTGCCATAATACACACTAATACTGAAAAATGATCTGACCTGGCTTCCAGTGGAGTTCACGAGTCCGATGGGCTATCCGAAACTGGCTCGGTCATCTCATCGCTATCTTCTCTTATGTCAGTTGGTCGTCCTCGAAGGCGACGCGAATTTGAAGCTGGTATGCCCTGGAGAGGTGTCATGAGAGTTTTCCAACTTATACAACTTCAGGTGACATCAATGCGAATCAGTCCAATTCGGACGCTGCATTACAAGAGTGTGTCTCGGTGACAGACAAATTTAAAAGCCGCATGTATTTCATCTGACCGCATTAGAATCACTTGTAATACGAAAGCAGCGGTTATTTTCTAATGTTATTCATTAGTAATCCGGCATTTCCACTGGTTTAGTTGTAGTCTTTGTTTTGTAAAGCGTTTCTACACGGTGGAATGCATAAAGATGTTGGAGATGCTGTGTTTAGTGATTGAATGAAAGATTCTGTGACATGCAAAGACAATGGCTTAAAAAGGCATGCACGATAAGAGTTAAAGAATTATTGATAGAACAAGTATAAGGAATTACCGAATCAAAAGCAAATAATAATAATTTAGCAGAATATTAGATTTTAACCACCTTTTCTGAAAGAAAAAACGGAAGCGAGAATAAAACAAAGAAATCTGCACAAACAAGCTAACTAATAAATCGACATACACCGACATAATTAGTACCAATTCACAAACCTGATCTCTTTCTTTCTCAATCTTTCTATAGTAATGTGGAGAAAACCAGGGTGTTTGAGGAAAACTAAACTAACCACAAAACAGTCATTTTACAAACTGTATTTCGTGTTTTTCCTCCACAGAAAAAAATGACTGGAAATTGTCAGAAGGTCACATTGCACAGGATACCGTGAGCACACAGAACGAAATACAACAGAAATATTACAAGCATTATCTGTGGGCGATTCCTCAGATAGGATTACATACACGACCATGGGCATGGCGGTGGTGAGATGTAGACACTTGAGAACATTTGGCAATATGCTATTAATGTGGAGAAAACCAGTGAATGTCTGAGGATATATGTAACTAATTACAAGACAATCATTTTACAAA